AGAAAAAAGCAAGAGGAAGACTGGCAACAGATGTTAGCTGAGGGCGACTCTTTCTCTGCAAAAAAACAAAAAGTAGCCAGAAACCCAAGATTTCTTGGCCATATCTCAGAAAAGGACTTTAGAGCTGACTTTCCCTTTGAGAGTGGTGTGCTCAGTTACCTGAAATTCCAGTGGGGAAATCATCAACAGAAACATCCCTGTTGACCAGAGCTGCCATAGTGATGGCCACTTCTGTTTTCCGATAGGAGACCCAGGCGGTGTACCAGTTTAGGTACCTGAAGGAAACCCTAGGGATCGTGCTGTTATTTAAATTAATTATTCAACTGACTCGTTATTTTTCAGCAACCCAATGTGTTAGAGAGCTTGAATTAAGCCTGTTGGCAAATGTGTAACCATCAAAAATTCTTCACTGTTAGAAACTGGAAACGAAAACTCAGTCTCTTTTGGCTTTAGATTTTTTGGTCTTGTACAGAACATGGAAGGCTGTGGATTAAGTGCATTAGTTAGAATAATATATTCAAGGATTTAAGGAATTTGGGTACAATTTCGAACCACTCTACTACCTCTGGCTTGACCTCAGCTCAATTTCTTAATCTTTGGCTTCTTTCTCCATCTGCGCAACATGCCTCTGGCAACACGCTGAGTGCAGTAGCTGTAGGAATAAATTAAATAACGGGCTTAATATCACCAGTGAGAATGGAGCAAATTGCTCTTTTGTGGGATCCATTAGCTCAGCTGAGAATATTAGCCCAGGATTCTGGGTCTATGATGGACTACAAGGAATAAGGTAGCGTCAATTTTAATGTCTTGCTTTGCCCCTAAATGACTCTCGACAGCAGGTAAAGAAAAGAAGGGAAGAAAGAAAAAAGCAGAGACAGAGGAGAGGGCTTGGCAAGTCAAAAGGAAGAGATAAAAGGTGGAGGGACAGAGGACCAGAAGACAAGAAGTGAGGCATGAGTTATGATATGCAGAAAAGAGAAGACGGAGAGGAAGAAGAGAAACAAGATTACTGAGTGAGAGGAAGAACAAGGATTCGAAAGGAAGATTCTAATCAGAGAGCAGTTCTTTGGGACAAGAGTGGAGGTAGGAGGAGAAGGTAGAGCAGAGGGGGCAGGTAGGGTTCATTCCAGAAAGAGAAGTTTTGCTTGTGGTGTGCTCCTCCTTTCAGTGGCTCTCTGCACGTTCCTGGTCCTCTCCCTCCCCAGTCTTAGGGTTCTAGGTCTGGGAATTAGCTTTAAACAGTGTGAGGCATTTAACCTCTCAGAAGGATAAGAAATTTAACAAGACTCTTGAAGTGACAGGTCTCAAGACCCAGGGAGTTAACTAAATGTCAGTCTGTTGGGGGAAAGGGCCCTTACTCAATGCTCCTCAAAGCAAACAAATTAAGTCACGTAGGACAGGAAATGATGGGCAAACAATGAAAAGGAATGAATGAGAACAAAGACAGTTTCATGAGTGTCTTAGCAAAACCCATTTATTCCTCGAAGTCCTCTAAGCTTCACCCACTAAGGAGAACAGGATTTCTAACCATCTCAGTACCACACCTAGCCCCACCGCAGGCTCATATCCCTGCTTTTATAGGTTCAGGAGTGGTAGTAGAAATTGCAATAATAATAATATTTGCAGCTAATATTTATTCCTTACTTTGTGTCAGGCACATATCCCATGCATTCTTCTGAAAGGGATTTGAGGTGATTTACAATAAAAGACAAATTATAAGAGGCAAGGAAGAACTCTACGTACACACCTTGGCTGAGGAAAACTGTTGCATGTTTAATACTTACAGCAGTAAGTGGTTTTATAGAAATTAACTCATTTGTCCTCTCTACCATCCTATGAGGTAGGTACTTTTTATAGAATAGGAAGCTGGGAAAACTAAGATTTGATATTATGTCCTTGGCTTGCCTTCAAAGGCCAGTATAAGAAAAATAACAACTCTGAAGGAGTCTTGCTACTTTCTTTCAACAATAGGAATTTCAAAGCTATTCACCAGGAAAAATATTTTAGCTCTGCCTGCCACCAAAAAATGGCCAAAACCATTGTTGAACATCCCTCCTAAAGGACCCTTCTGACAAATTCCTCTCAGAGCTTGGGCCAGGAAAGACTTTCTCCTAAATAAACTGTATGATTCCTTCCACTTGACAATGAGAGTTATGAAAATCTTCATTTCCCCTATTTCACTTGGCCCTGAGGAAGCTTGGAGCTAAGTTTTGTGCTAAGATGCTATTGTTTGTCTCAGCCAGTTTTTTTCGTCTTTTTCCTTTTTTTTAATATCTGTTTTTCATTGTAAAACACCTTAAGTCTCTTTGGAAGAAGGCACAGTATAAATAAATAAAATACAAACAAATGGCAATCCTGTTGGGGCCATGCTAGGATATAATAATTCACCAAAATAGTTATATAACCCCCCAGAAATCTTTTTCTCTGGAAGGGAATATTGTAAACAGAATCCTGGGCAGATGCTGTCTTTCATGGTGTTTATTGCATTTTTCATGCCTCTCAAATAGCATTCCAAACCACTTTGGGTAAAGAACATAACATCTAGAGAAAATTAGCTGATTACACTCATACGTCTTCTTGTAACAGGCATCTAATTAAAGTTTTGAATCTTGCCCAAAACTGCGCTCTAAAATAAACCAATTTAAATCTACATTTATCAGTCAGGCTTAAAATGAAGAACAACTTCACTCATTTCAACTATTCACTGGTTAATCACTATGCTTAATTTGCAGATTTTTATTTGGCTCCAAAAGTTCTTCCAGGAAAAAAGCCATATCTTGTCCTCCTGATTGATAAACACTGTGCATGTTAGATCACACATCCTGAGAAACCTGCTTCAGGGCCAAAAGGTGAGTAATTTAAAAACCAAATCGCATCATCTCACCTTTGCTGCTTTTGGGAGTGATTGATCCTTTCAAAGAACAAAGCCTTGCATTTCCAGAATTTTCATTACAGGTGTGATTATGATTTTTGTTTCACTTAAAGATTATTTTATATTTAAGCATTTCAAATGAAATCTTGCTGACAAGAAAGAAATGAACAAAACAGAAAAGCAGGGAGAAGAGCCAATAGCTGGAAAAGAAGGGCACAAATCTTGCACAAAATAATTAACGAAGCTAATTCTGCTTATCCAGCAAGTAAAGTTCAAAATTTTGCTGCTTCATTCCCATTCAATTTCAGCTAATTATAGAACCTACTCTTTTACTTCTAATTACGTGATCTTTTCTATCTCATTTATGTTTGACAAACATTCAGTGAGAACTGCCATGTGTCCAGTTCTTCATGTTATACAATATAATTTGATACTTATGTATCAAACAAAACAAATTCTTGTTCTGATACTTACTTTGCAACGTCTCATGAAATGGCCAAAAAAGTAAATATTACATAAAATAGTATTTACAACATAGACTGGTCTATGACAATGGAAGTAAAAATGGTCTCAATCCATGACAGTAGAAATTGAGCTGAAATTCCTTTAAGAATCCATAGTGGTTCATTCACATTTTATGCAATAGATAAGAAAAATTTATTCCTATCAGCACAGATAGCAGAACCATATCAAGTGTTGCAAACTGAGCAATGGCCTGGTCATAATCAGAATATTGCTAATGTTTGTTTAAAGCCCTCATTTTGTTACAAAAATAAACAATCCATTATTTCTCATGAAAAGTGTGTATACCACCACTCTTCAAACTTGACCTTGGTATTGTGTGGGCACAATGATGCTCCTTAGAAGCTGTGGCAAGTTTCTGTTTCCTGACCTGTGAAATGGGTATACATCAGAGGCAGGTTTTCTGTGAAGCTAATTAAAATGTAAGCTTCAGAGAAAGCATCTTCTCCAGGCCCCCACCCAAGGCCCCGCCAGGAGCCCTAGCAATACATTCACAGGGTCATGTTTTTGTACAATTCGCAAAAATAAAATATTTTTAACCACAATCACCTGAGATTGAGGTCTCTTTCCACTTGGATTTTCCCTCTGTCACTTTCCCTCCTGTTGGGTAGTTTTGTTTTGTTTTTCTTTAAGAGGACCACCCAAACTGCGTTAAGTATCAGGACTTGCAAAACCTGCATCAACCCCCAGGCATAACAGTATCTATTTTACAGGTGTGTTGTGAAGATTAAATGAGGTAACGAACAGTGCGAAGCACATGTTTTCCAAACAAGGTCTTAGAGATAATAGGAAGCATTTACTTTTGTTGTTCAAATTACATACGAGGCTGGAGTTGCTCATTAGGACACTAGTAGGGACCATGCCTTACTGTGAAACATATTTTCAGTCTAAGGAGCCCACTTTGCAATCAATATACTTGCTGGTGTTTGGTGCCCATTTTAGTTAGATTATCAACGGGGAAATGTTATTTCAGAAAATAAGCTTCATTTTGCCAATTTAGAAATTGCTTTGGAATTTCATCCAAAGGCCTCTAAAAACACGTTGGCCTTGGTGCTGGTGCATCAAATAAATCACAAATGAAACAAACAAGCTGGCTTCCTATTGAAGGTGTGTCTGCAGTGCCCTGTGACTCTGCGTGCCAGGGACTTTATCTGGCACATTTCTGAACTTTGCAAAATTAATTGTGCTGAAGAGAACATCATCAAACGCGTCCGGCATAGAGCGTAAACATCTTCAAACCATGATTCTGCGCCATCAAAAGCTCTCCAGCTAATTTCATTTGGTGCATTACTCTGGGAGAAAATCGAGGCCAAGTGAAACTGCGGAAATGGGAACAATGCACGGAGGAAAAATCTCACACCATTAAGGGATCCGTTTCTACTCCGCACAAATAAGCCCACCACGCCTTGGAGGCAAGACTGGATGGCTCCAGGATATTCTCAGAATGCCCTCGCGGGCCCTCTCAGGCTGAGAGAGGTCTGCACCAGGGAGGAGAAAGGTGGTCTGAGCGGCAGGGCCCCAACCTTGGGGGCATTTTAGGTAACTCATAAAATCTAAGCAGTCGCGCCTCCCCCTTTACCCCCCCAACACACACAACTCGCACACGCTGGTTTTCGTGTATATTTCCGTGTATATTACAGAGGAGAATAAAACAGCGCTCCACTTTTTCCTTTCCTCCGTGCAATGTTTGCGATGCGCGCCGACAGCATTTTGAGAGCCGCTCTGCTTCCCGCAAGGGCGCCCCGCGCTGGGCAGGCCTTCGGTGAGGATCTGCACCGGCTGGGCCGCTTCACTCTCCCCGGCTCTTCCATGACCTTCCGAGATTGGCCTCGGGCCGGGACTCTCTGCGGAAGCACCACCCTCGGGCTTGGGCCCCGCGCGCGGCCGCGCACCTCCGACTCCCAGGAGCGGCCCCGCGGGCGAGCGGCGGGAGCGCGCGGCCCGGCCCTGGGGTGGCGGCGGGGGCGCGCGGGGCGCGGGCGGTGGGGCGGGGCCTGCGGGGGGCGGGGCCGGGCCGGGGCAGCAGCGCCCCCAGCCGAGCGGCGTGCAGGGGCCGCCCCCGCGCGCCGCAGTCCCGGCCAGAGCGTCTCGGCCGTGGCCGTGGCCCTTACCGTTGCCTGCGGGCGGCTCTGGCGGCGGCGGCGGCTGCCCGGGCTCGCGGAGGTCAGCGGGCCGCCCCTCGCCTGTGGCCGCGTAGAGCAGCCCCGCACGGGGACAAGGAGGCGAGACGGCGCGGCGGAGGCGGCGGCTTGTGCCCGGTCCCCCTCCTCCTCGCCTCCAGCCCCGGGGCGACTGCGGACTCCGGGCAGCCCCCGGGCGGCGGCCGAGCGGACGGCGGGGGATGGCGAGATAGCGGCGCGGGAGCGGCCCGTGAGTGACGGGGGCGGTGGGCGCGGCGCGGGGCGCGGGAAGTGGGAGCCGCGGAGCCTGGAGCCGGGTCCCGTGGGCGCGTCGCCGCGAGCGCTGGCCGCCCGGGCGGGGTGGGGGGCAACTCGGGCCGGCTGTGGTCCCAGGGTCGGGCAGCCTCCGAGATGAGTGACCTGGGGGAGGGGGCAGGGGGAAGCGCTCCAGGTCGCGCTGTTCTCCGCGCGCCCTTGAGCCATCCTTGGGTCACCCTCGGGTCCCGGAGGGCACCGACTCCCCGGCCGCGAACTTCTGCCCCACGAAGGGCGGTAAGTTCTGAGCCAGAGGCCACCTGGGGGGGGGATGGGAAGAAGCTTTAATTTTTATTTTCCTTTGGAGATGGTAAGTAACAAGTGATTTCGTGCCCGGTGCCTCAACTCTTCATTAACGTAATTCTTCGTGCCTTCTCGATTTAAAGGGTATTTTATTTACCTGTGTTTTTATGTGTTTATATCCGAAGGTGCTAAACTGATTAAATCCAAAGTTACAGTGTTGGCTGTCAAAGTTAGGCTTCGTGAACGATGCCACTTCTGATGTATTGTCTTAAAGGATAGAGCTGGAATGGTGCGTTGTGACCCACAGAAAACACTGCACATCCAGGGTTGTGAATTTCCTTCAAGGCTTGAACAGTGCGATTCTGGTCCCCATCTTCAGCTACCAAAAATATATGAAATCTTTTATTTGCCGTTGGGTATCTTTGCGTTCCTTTTTGTATGGGTGTGTTTAATGCAGTCAAATATTGACATAACGTGTGTGCTGTTATAGAATGGGGTTTGTATGGAAATGAATTTTTTACATTTCTTTTTATGTGTTCCTTTGAGATCCAGTTTTCAGCAGAAAGGTTTCAGTTTAAAGTTTGCCTTCTGATTTGTGTGTTTTCAGTTTCAGGTTTGTTTTTAGTTAAAAAAACTTTTTGCTTGGAGTAAAATTGATGTGTCTTGGTAGTATCGTTTGGTCTGGGTTCCAAAAACGATTCCTAAATTAAATTTAAAGCAAATTCCCCTCCCCCACAAATGAAAACTCATTTGTTTAGTGCGAGTAAGGCTTGTCCCTCACCTTAAACGATGATTTTCCCCAGATCTGAAATCATATTTCACTAATATTAGAGGGTTCCTTGTCTAAGTCTGGCAGAGGAAAGGAGAGCTAAGTATAATGTGTGTTTTTAAAAACACGAGACTGTCTTCCTACTTGTTTCTTAGGTTGACTTGCTGTTTTATAGCCAGGTGTCAACTGTGTTGATCTGGAGGCTTCATTAGCTCGATGAGGTATGTTTTCAAGGTGAACCCAGCAGCTATTTCCCTTCCAAGAATTGCATTGAGGCTTATTTGCTTTGTAATAGGTGAGATCACAGCGCGCCTCTCTAATTAGTGGAGACTTCCATTCTCTTCTGGGAAATAAGGATCAGGAATGGTGCTGTCGAAGGGAACCAACTTGTGATTTTTGCAGGCTTTTGCTTCTTGATGGTCATCCTTGAATAATACGTTGGTGATAATAAGTGATTCTAATGGTAAAGTTTATTGTATTAATTTGTGGGACAGGCAGTCTGTGCACACTGGAGAAGATTTCATAGATATAAAAAGCTATAGAGTGGAGAGAGACCTCTCTCCCCCCTGCCCCACAGCACCCTGTTCTCCCCAGGAACCAGGGTGACTAGCTCCCTGTGTATCTCTTTCCAGATATAGCCTGTGCTAATCTAAACATTTTCTATGTGTTCTTTTTGTTTGTCTTTCCACAAACGAGGACACATTGTATACTCTGCTCTGCACCAGCTCCCTGCCTTGGCCACAGAGGACTAAATCTTGACAGTGTCTGTATCAGTCCCTGAGAGAGCTGTCTTACTCTCCAACAGCTGCTGAGTACTCCATTAAGGGTGAACCGTAATTTATTTAACCTCTTCTTTATTGAGATATGTGTAGGTTGCTTCCAATATTTTTCTGTCAAATTATTGGAAAACATTAATTTTTGAGGTTTTTAAGTGGATTTCAATTATTCCCGAAGGCCCAAAGACAGTAGTAACTTACTTCTTTGCATCATGTTCCAGGAAATAAATGCCTCTTCTCTCTGATGTACATCCTTTGCTTTTATATAATTTCAAAGCGATCCATAAGGATATTTGATGTCTTTGTGGTGAAGCATGAGCCATGATGGCCAGGAACTAAAAGTCATATTCCTTGATCAACACCTTTGCTCTTTGTTTCAACAAAAGAAATAAAGGAACAGATATAAATTTTTCAGAGTAATCTGTAAGAAAAATTCTTAAGAGTGTAACTATTTTTGAACATGGAGAAAAAGCTCTTATCTTTGATTAAATTGAAGATGAAAGTTTTGTTTCATAAAACTTGTATGCCATTAAGCACTAAAATCCTTGCGTTCTGTAGATTATCACCAGCATCTCATATTTTAATGTTGCTATAATATGGTTACAAATTGTACAGTTTGGGAGAAGGTTGTTAATAACTCTTAAGGGGGAATATGCTTTTAGAGAATATTTGGCCCTTTTAAATTAAAAATTGAGTTCTCTTAGCTTTTGCACAGAATAAACTGTAGACGTAATGCTGATGCTAGAAATTGAGCCTAATACATTATAAAATTTGAGTTTTAGCTAATGTTGAGCTTTAGATTTCCGTTATGCTTATTTTTGAGAGTGTTTTTAAGACTAGTGTAAGCTATAATGATCTTTTTTCTTTTTAACTGATCAAACAAATCTTTCAGCATTTAAAGTGTTCTCCTTATTGTTTGGTACTTGTCATTGTGATACAAAACTGCTAATATTGCTTATATTTGCTCTTCTTAAATAAGTATTTGTTAAGCATCTTATATTCCAGGTGGCTTTCTACAGACTGAGAATATAGCAGTGCCCGGGACAGACAGACCCCATTATGAGTTCACATCTTAGTGGGGAAGATGGACAAAAAGCAGTGAAGCAATAAAGGAGATAATATCAGATAGCGATAAGTACTGGGAAAGTCTAAGGTAGGGTTGCTACAGTAAAGAGGGCCAGCATAGGGGCTGCTGTTTGAGGGGCCCTAGAAGCCTTTCTGAGGTGGAGAGTTTGGTGGAGAGTCTGAGCAGAGAGTTGAATGGTGGGAAGAAGCCTGTGTTTTGGGAGATCTGGAGGAAGAATGTCTCAAGCAGAAGGAACAGCAAGTGCAAAGGCCCTGAAGTTGGACTGAGCCTCCCAGGCCAGAGGAACAGACGGCTGCCTGTGCGGCTGGAGTGTATGATAAGGGGAAAGGGGAAGCTGGGCTGCAGGAGAGAGCAGGTGCCGAGTTGGTACCCCGTGTGTTTGCATATGTCAAGGAATGTTGACAGAAGTGAAAAGAGTTCTTTGATGGTGGAGTTCCCTGCCTGCTGGAAGCTCCAGGCGGCCAGGCGTGGATCAGCTGTTCCTCATTGCTTCCCCAGCACTGGGAACAGCCTCGGGTCAGAATGGCTGGGACTGTTTGTTGAATTAATGAATAATCAGAGAGTTTAACAAATAAGCTTGCCTGGTTTTGGTCAAAATACCTGGATTCGGGAGTCTTTTGTCTGAGCTTCCCATCTCGGCTCTGGCCCTTGACATTCCCAAGTCAGTTATGCACATCCTCTCAAATTATTGCCTTCAATCAGTTGCATTTGATTGCTATCCCATGAAATTAATGTAGGAAGGCTTAAAAACATGCCTAATTTTCTGGGACATTATGTTGATTTCTGAGTAATTTAGTCAGAAGTTTCATCTTTGATTTCAGTGGATTAGCCATTTACTTAAGAGTAAAATTTTTGAAGATGCCCTTTTTTGTACACTGAATGTTTTAGTTCCTTTTGGCAGATGACAGGGAAATGAGCAAATAAAATATATGTACTTTCTGCAGGTACTTCTGGCCTCACAGGAAGAATGTGTGCATGTTCTATTTTAGGGAATATCACGAACTGGTATTTCCTCTTCCCAGCTTCTAATCTGTTTGTCGTTCTAAATATATGTTCCTTTATATTAATTGAAAACTTGCGAAATGAGTTTTGTGCCAAGCAATTGTTACAGATGTCTAATAAGCTGTTGTCTTTCTCTTGACTGTGACTTTTGGGCTCCTGTTCAACATCAGGAGTTTCGTGATCTTGCATAATGAGGGTTTTTAATTTTTTAATGTCCTATTCTAACTGGTTGATACCAGAACCCCGTAAGTTGTTTCCATGTAAGATAATTTTATCTTCTAACTTTCTCTCATAAGCTCCGTGCAAACACTATGTAATGGATGGATTCTGTGACTCCTAAATCCTGAGTAAAGTCGCCTTTGTCCTTTGTCCCTGTCATTGCAGTGAAAGCTCTTCAGGCAAATAGCAGAAGCACATAAGCGTCTGTTTACATGTAACTGGTTGTGGTAAATTTAGAGACTTAGATGCTTCAGTTAAAGTACTTTTACTACTTCCTTTACATTTCCTTTGTGAACTGTAGAGATGCGGGAAGCCGTATTTGTCTTACACTGCCTGAAATTACAGCACAGACCTTTTTACCAGTTGTGGCTGCTGATGTTGCCACTGTGAGCAAAGGCTCATAGATGCTGTTTTATGATTTTATGTTGGAGGTTGAGAAAAAACTTCTGGTGGGTGCATTTTTCATGTACTTCTGCAGAGAGGTGAGAAAATCTTGACTCTTGCTCATTCTTCTGGTTTGTAGGGCAGAAAGACTTGGAATCGTCATACGTGCCTAGAGTTGGAAATGTTGTATTATTAAGTGGCAGTATCTTAAACGACCACAAAGAGGCGGTATTACTTCCTGAAAGTGTTGGCATGGCTCTTACCCAGAGGGGGGCTTGAGATATTGAAGCCCCCTGCTGTTCCTTCCTCTAACTGCTATAAGGAGCAGGCTTCTCCA